TCAAAAAAAAAAAATAAGAAAGCTGCATAATTTAGGATCGTTGTTCTTTTCTGCAAAATGTACATTTTAAGCAATGCTTCTTACGAAAAATATCGTAAAATATGAGGAACTGATATATAACACATATTTTGAAAGTTGTAGATTTTGAGAAGGTCTTTCACATCCCGTTAAAAATACAGGGTCTTCCATTAGAAAATAACAAAACTTTTGCCTTTGGAAAAGATAATATTTGTTACAATTTTGTGAACACCCTGTATGACAGTTATAAACAGTGAGCACTTCAGAATTTACGGGGAATCTAGTGCAATATGTGTTACGATTGCTTAGATGGTACCTATATCAAAAAACGAGTATATAAGCAACGATCAAGTGTAACGCCGAAAATGTCACTTTTTATATTAAAATATTAATATCTCGGAAACCGCTAATTGTAGACCACCTCTAACGAAAAAGTTATATAATTCCATGTAAAATATAAATATCCACTCAAATACAGGGTGTTCCATTTAAAAAATACAACTTTAGTCAGCCCTCCGAAATCGAATCACCCCGTATAAGTCAAATTATTTTTAACATGTGCATTTCTTGCCCCCTTACCCGATTTTTGCCAGTTTTGAAATATTTTGCGTCAATTATATTCTAGCAATAAATCAACTTTGCCACAGCGTTGGCTCACCCTGTACAATGTCAATGTACATATTTTACTTTGCATATTTAGATTTATTTATACCGCAATCGCCATCTATAGCTTATTATGTAGTAACCACAATATTTTATCTTCAACGCTTTCCTTAAAGATACCACTCACCCACTTTGTGCAGCTGTTAACCGTAAGATGTCGCGAAGAGTCGAATGAAATATTTCTCTATACTTATACATACTCGTATAATAAAGTCTTTTTGGTTTAGTTACTGCACCTTTGTACTAGATGTCGCTATAGTACAATTATGGAAGATTTAACAAGATCAGTATGAATATTGAATATAATTACTATTCACGCTTTACCAGAAATATCCAAAATTTTATGTGAAATGTTAAGTAGGTGTATTGACCCACATCTGAAATCCACCGTTAATAATCAGTTACTGATTTTATTTGCTTAAAAATGTTTTAAAAATACACAAAGTAGGAGTAATATAAATAATTGTGTTGTAAAGGAATGATTTTTATTTATATGATCAGTGCTTTACTGAATGCCCAATTAGATATAATTACATATATACGGCATTTTATTAAGGATGGAACAAGACTTAGGAATTTCTAAGGTCAAAATAATAAAATTTACATTTTTTTTCAACTTCAAATACTATACGATTGGTCTCGATTTGAAAAAAGTAATTAATTAATTGAGTTTACTGTACATAATGGTCAGCATAAATTGTAGATATGTTCGGTTTTCCTCTCAGTTTTCATTTTTAATTTTTTCAATTAAATAATCTTTTGGCATCGCGATTTTTCATTTGCCACTCACTAAAAGAATAAGCTGTACCTTAATCAAATATTGTTCCTTGTCAATCTACAGGTTAGCAAGGTTTAAAAAAGTAATAAAAATATGTTGCCAAAGCACATAATCCATTTTGCTGCCTTTTTATTTACATTTTTCGGAAATTTTTTGAACATCCGCAAGAATAATTTATAGTAATTGAAAATAACTCAATTAATTGTTTAATATAATTTAAATAAAAAAACATTATTTCTACAGCAGAAACAATAAACACCAATTAAAATAATGATTTATTAAACATTATTTGTTTTTTTTGTTTATGTTTTCCAAAAATTTTTGCGACCTCAGATATACCATTATCATGTATTATTTGCCGTATTATAAAGAAATGTAACAAAGAAAGATTTTAAACATTTAATAGCTAAACTTTTAAGAGTTAATAAACAACGATAACTGCAAGTTATGATTACTACATTCAATTTTCTAAAGCATAACATATAACTATGAAAAATATGCAGTCTAGAACACATTTTTAGGTATTTTTCTTCTCAATAAAAAAGCTCACTTATGTTCATTCTTAGCCTGTGTCGAACAAGGATTTAGTTACCTAGGAATTAGGTACTAATTGTTCTAATCAACCAACACGTACAGGTGGGTGGCCTAATTATTAGGGACAGTACTCATATTTATGAAGTTTCTAGTTCAATTTCTTTTTTTGAAAAAACAAAGTCTTCACAATGTTTTTTTATTTTGTATTGCAGCTGGTACTGTTATTAATATTTTTATTGAGTGGCAACCTGATATTCTGCATCATTTATCAGATAAGTGTGGTTACTCTTCATATGGTGGTAATTTGTTAAAAAATTTTGTTACAGTGAGATGCTAAAAAATATTTCTGAATCGTTTTTTCGTGAGTTTTTCCTGTTACAAATTATCAAAACGTTATTGATATTTCGTATAGAATTATCATAATAAACAATGAAGGAATTGTAATTTCCCAAATGACAGTCCAAAGGTGATTGGCAGAAGAAAACCTGATCGGTCGTTGTCGACCCAAAAACCACCTTTGACTGCATTCGAATGAGAACAACTAATTAAAATAATGTTAATAAATATTTTTTTGTGATTATCTCAATATTTTCCGACGAATCTGCATCTCAAATTTTGGTCGACAAAACTTCATTTCTCCGACGACGTCTTGGGGAGAGCAGTTCCATCCAGACTGCCTTGTGGTGCTGGTTAAATACCCGGTTGGTGTCATGGTATGGTCTATGATTTCAGCAAAGGGCATAAGACGCCTATACATCGTAGAGGGGATCATGAGGCAGGATCCGTACAAGCGAGTACAAAAAATCCGGCTACTGCCACATATCGAAGAATGGTTCTCTGGTGATGCCGAGTTCATTTTTATGCACGATTCGGCACCGAGCCATAAGCCAGGAGTGTTAGTGCGTTCCTGGCCGAAAAAACATTACCATTTTGCCCTGACTGGGTATGAACCCTATAGAGAACATGTGGGGACTCACCAAACGGGCGATTGCTAATGAGGTGATCACCACCAAGCACCAATTGGTTGAAATTCTCATCAGAGACGAACTCCAACAGAATTGTAAAGTCTGTATAGAGAGCATGCCTCGAGACATAAAAGCTTTATTTCTGGCAAAGGGTGCATCACTAAATACTAAGATTAATTTTAGCGGATTTCCATTGACGCATATATATAGCTTTTACGAAATTAATAGTTTCACCCACGTAACTCGTTGTTTTTATGATCTTAATAATACACTCTTTTGAATAAAAAATAGCTACAACCTATAGAACCAACTGTTTGTTCAAAAAAAATCTGTCAAACTAGAAAATATAAGAAACTGAGTACTGTTCCTAATAATTTGGCCACCCACTGTATGTATATACTTAAGACTTTTGGGCATATGTTAGATATTTAATATTTGGCCACTCAATAGAGATTTTGTTTGTGACAAAAATACTAGTAGCAAACGTTTGCTACTAGTATTTTTATCACAAAATCACTGATTTTATGCTCTATTGATTGGCCTATATAGAAATTAGAGACATCCCAATCAAACATGTCACTGCAATCCTAAGAAAACTTATTTGGATATGTACATCGTTTTACTTACTTGGGTAAGTAAAAAGATGTACAGGGTGTTTCATTTTGTAAAACAAATATGGGTACATGAATATCTCTGTATTCCTTAATATGTCGCGATTGCCAATTAATTGTTTAAAATCTGCACAAGTCTTGGATTTGTTGATGAAATCTGTAATTTTAATTTTCAAAACTTTAATATAAAGATTTTATACAGGGTGTCTCGCATAAGAACCGACACAGGGCAGGTGCATGTAGGGGTGTCCAGAATATTGTAATTTAACCAAACTTACCTATATTAATTAGCCCCCAAAGTGGAACCCTAAATTTCGAAAATAATTAATATATCTGCAACAATGTTGTTGTACGCAATGAATTTATCTTTAAAACTTGTCAATTAGTAGGTAATTAAATTATTATTTCAACAGTTGCCTCTGATTGTTGTTAAAAATATATCAATTATTATTTTTGTTATTTATTTGTGTTTTTTACTTAATACAATATTCGCTTATTTAAAAACTACCTAAGTACTTGTTTTCTTTTTGTAGAATTAGGAGAGAAGTGAAGTAAAATTTATTTGGCCAATTGTCAAATTTGAAAGATAAAGTCTACTACTAACTTTTTGCCTATTTTCCAATGAACATTGTTAAAATATTGTCAGTGTACGGTTTTTCTTGAAAACCATAAAGTTTTTTAAAATATAAAAAGAGTAAAAAAACATTTAGAATTAAATTCTGCTGTGAATTAATATTACTATTTTTCAATTCGGTCAATGAAAAAAAAATCGGTACAATTTTAGGGGTGAGTCATCCCCAATGAACACCTTGTAGTGCTTCAATTAACTTTAAATCATAATTAAAGAATGCCAGTAATAAACCTAAATCATGTACCAAATTTGGTTCTTCTACGGTAAAGTGTTGCAAAGATATTATTTTTTTTCGAAATTTAGGGCCCCATTTTGGAGGCTAATAACTCCTCAGGGGTGCAACTTTGTATATAGATAAGTTTGGTTAAATTACAATATTTTGGACACTCCTACATGCACCTGCCCTGTGTCGGTTCTTATGCGGGACACCTTGTATAGGCAATAAACCATTGTAGACATGGATTATGTGGTATCATTAAATTTGTCAGTAAAAGATTTTTATTATTATATGTTTTACATATATGTATATCCCTAATTGAACAAATAATATGCAATTCTCTTATTACTCGAATACTTAATGCTTATCAATAGCTAACAATTTTGTTTAATAAGATTATTTTGTTTCTTTTTTAACTTCTGTAGTTTGCTGCAACTTTAATTGTATTTAGATTTTTTTTATTTCATTAATCTTGTTCGTAACTACCTATAATATTGGTCTGGCTCATAAATAAATAAATACGTATTTCAAGTATAGGATATAATTATGTAACCTATAACTGATACAAACTTTTTTTTTTTAGAGTGGTCAGCGTCCAGAGAGATGGGAAGTGAGCATTACTGTTTGAGGTGGAATAATCATCAAAGCAATCTTCTTGGAGTGTTTAGTCAGTTACTTCGCGACGAAAGTCTAGTGGACGTAACTCTGGCCTGCTCGGAGGGCCATTCCATTCGCGCCCATAAAGTAGTACTATCCGCCTGTTCTTCTTACTTTCAAACACTTTTTGTTGACCACCCTAGCAGACATCCGATAGTTATCCTAAAAGACGTCCGTTTTTCCGAGCTACGAACTCTTATAGAGTTTATGTATAAGGGTGAAGTTAACGTTGAATACTGTCAACTTTCTGCTTTGCTTAAAACTGCAGAAAGCCTTAAGGTAAAAGGTAGGTTATAAATCTAAGTGTACTTATATCACTATGTCTCTAGGAGATAATCGTAAAATATACAGAGTACCAATAAGTGAATGGGTCTAGTATGAAAATCAACCGAATTAGATCAAGTTAGTGCAATTTTGTTTCCTTAAAAAGTTACAGACCATCAAAGTAAATTTACTACATTATGTAAATTATAAGTAGTTACTTAATTCTTTAATATATTTCAGTGAAATTTATTATGCATATGTTTTTGGGGTAAAAAGAATGTTGGCTTATTTTTCACCTAAAGCATAAATATCGCTAAGAATAGATAGTATTTTGTTTTTGGAAGTTTAAACATCGGCCTATAGTCATTTAAAAGTTGTTTTCGTTGAACGACTACATATATCTTTTTTCGAGTTTAGAATTTTAGAGAGAGAGTAATAAAGTAAGATTTTATAAAACATCTGTTTTCTCAGAATTTGTACTAACAAAAAAATATGATAAAACAACAGGACTCTTTTAGATATTAAAGCGAGCTCTATATTTTAGGTAGCAAATAAGTCTATGTTTATCCTCCAGTACCTTAATAAACTGCCTACAGGGTTTTTCACGTAACCCGTTCATTAAAAGTTTTTAAACTTCGAGTTATAATAGAAACTTCAAATTTTGACAGCTGTCTTTAAATGAAATATTTGTCGTCGTACCTCATCTCCCGTTGCTTCACTTACCATTTGGTTGCGGCTCTCAGGGTTTCTGGACATATTATATGCTTCTCGCGCTGTCGCGCTGGACTCTGCTCGAGATGTAGCTAACCTGGTAAAATTGCGCTTAGGCATGGCTAGGTGAGAGGACGCGATCTAATTTTGTAACAACTTGTCTTTCCTTTAGATAGGATGTATGAGAGGTTTGACTCTAACAAAGGGAATTTGGATTAGAATGATATGAGATATAGGATCGGTATTGGAAAGATAGGTGAAAAGTGACTTTAAGCGCCAATACGTCCCGCTATCTCTGATATTTGAGCTTAGGCGGCTATGAGAGCCGTTGATTAGGTAGTTTGTATATATAATTCTTATAATTATATATATCTAGAGGTAAACACTACGCTCATATAGTTCTGATAACTATAGGGGCGGTTTGATGCACTTCACTAGAGCTTATATCTAACACTTTATGATAGGGCTGGCTAATGGCCCGTGATTTG